CGGCAAGGTAAGGCATGGTAATATTATGAGAGAAATGAATACCATAGAAATGTGAGCAACAATGGTAATGATTATTATAGTGGTGGCAATGATACTGACATTGATAGTGATGATAATAGTACTGTTGCTAAGTGTACTATCCGCAATGGCAATGGTGATAATGATATTAATGATAAAGACGATAATGGTTCTAATAGTATTCATAATAATAATAGAAATGATAATATTCACACTAAGGATGATAGCAATGGGTATATCCTTCATGACGATTATAACAACAATAACGATGACAAAATGATAACAAACAATAATGATAACAATAATGGTAGTGATAGTGATAATGAAAAATGATGTGATAACAATATCATTATCTTTATGATTTTATTATTGGTATGATGAGGATTATAAATAAGATTATCTTTACTAGTAAGAGTAATAATGATAAATATTTGTGATGATGACAATAATAATGATGATAAAGAATGTCATGATAGTATTGATATTAATAATAATAATGATAACGACAATAATACTGATAATGGCAGTAATATTGATAAAATGATACTGAAAAGAATAATGACAACAACAATATTACTACTAACAATGATAATTTTATGATATTGATAATAATAATGGTAAAAATAATAATGTTGATAATAATGGCAATAATGATAACAGTAATGGTGATAATTATAGTAACATTAATATCAATCGTGTTAAATAAAATAATAATATGTTAACACCATTAATGATGATGCTAATGATAGAGATGATAGCATTAATTACAATGATATTGATGATAATGATAAAGATAACATTGATAATAACAACAATAATAATAAAAACAATAATAATGATGTAAATAATATAAAAAGACAACAATAATAAGATGATAATACTAATTATGATAAAAATCAACAATAATGACGATAATAACAAAAGCAACAATAATAAACATGGTTATGATAATGACAATAATGTTAACAATATATCATGGATAATGATAATGACAATAATAATAGTAATATCAGTAGTGATAGCATTAACAACGGTGAAAAATTATATTATTTGAAGTATCGGTATCAGTATCAGTATTGGCATCATAATCATTATCACCCTCATTATCATTATCATCATTATCTTTATTATTATTACTGCTGTTATGGCTCTTATACTGTATGTATATATAGCTAGATAAATAGATCTTGATAAAGATACATACGTAAACATACGCACCCACCCATACATGCATATATATATATATATATATATATATATATATATATATATAATATATATATATATGTGTGTGTGTGTGTGTGTGTGTGTGTGTGTGTGTGTGTGTGTGTGTGTATGTGTGTGTGTGTGTGTTGTGTGTGTGTGTGCGCGCGCGCGTGTGTGTATATGTACATATTTTTACATATATGTGTACATATACATACATATTTACATATATGTGTATATATATAGATATTTACATATATGTGTACATAAATATATGTGTGCGTGCGTGTGCGTGTGTGTGTGTGTGTGCATATACATACATATATATGTGTGTACATATACACACAATTATGAATGTGTATACATATATATGCGTATAAATATATATTTATATATACATATATGTATGCGTATATACCTGTGTGTAAATACATAATACGTATATATACATAGATGTATTCATAAACTTACAAACATTAATATATATCATATATACACACACACATGATCCAATACCAGGCAGACTCGCATACACGATTAGGACTAACCTGCATTTTAGGATGAGTCCCTACCCGATGGGAAGCAAGTCCTTGACCTGCTCCAAGTCCTCCGCGTTGTATATATACCGCGGTCTCCCTGGGACCGTCGCCACATTCTCATTCACCTTCCGCAGAACCACACGCAGGTATGGGCCTGAAGAGCCTTTCTTCGTCTGTTAGAAATAGTGTATATTGAGGAGGGAACGTTTGTATATTAGTATTAGGTCTCATTCCTTTGCTCACATTCCGCTTTACAGCTTCCACCATCATGAACTCTCGCGTGTTCTTGGGTCTCCTCCTGTGCGGCCTCTGGCCTCTTCCGAGTCTCTCGTCCTCTTGGGAACCACCGCCGCAGTGGAACTGCCGCCGCCGCCACCGCAGTTACCGCTTCTGCAGCGGCAGCTTTGGGCGTGGGCGCGCTGGCGGTGCTCAAGGGAGTTCTTATCGGGAAGCATCTGAAGCGCCGCCGTTACGGAAGGGACGTCGATGCCGTGCAAGACGTTGCTGAGGACGATGCAGAAGACGTTGCAGTTAAAGTGAGTTTCATTTACCATGAAGTGTATATACTTTCATTTGTATGTGCGTGTGTTTTTATGTATATACCTGATATATAAAGCGTGCATGTGCGTTTCCTCTTTGGGAAAATGCTCAGCATATGCAAACTATTAGGGAAACAATAAAAAATAAGAAAAAATAAAAATCTGCTTCAACAGGTTGCCGTGGCCCAGCAGATGGATTCAGCTGGCTGCGTGGCCAAGCTCTTGTGCGAAATCGAGGCCATGTCCGCTGACCAGCTGACTCCTGCCATGGCCTCCTTCAAGACTGCTTTCGAGAACAACGAGAACCTCAGGAGCGCCCGAGGCGTGTACGATCTGGCCATCAGCTTCGGCTCCAAGTTCGCCAAGAAGGACTCGAAGGCCTGCAGCACCCTCTTCGAGAAGTGCGTCCTGTCCAGGGAGGACCTCTCCTTCATGCTGGACTCCACCTTCTCTTGCCAGTCTTAAAGGCCTTTTCACATACACTGGCGAGTTTCTTCCATCCGCCGACGTGGCACGGTCTTCGTCAGTACAAACGTTGCAAAGGAAGGCTTCAAGTGACTTGGTAGCTGTCAGACAAGTGACTGATTGGACCATATTGCTGAAGCTTTCGCAATACCTTAAATTATATTCATCTATTTATTTATACATTTCATACGAAATAAAATAAACAAACATGATTTGAATATTATTTCCTCTGTGGTATTAGCATAACCATCCATTTTCCGATGTATCTGTTTATGCGTTTTATACGAAATAATAGTTATCGTGATCTGAATATCATTAGGTGTGATATACATGTTTTTGTCTCCTGCTCTCTTTATCTCTCTCTCTCTCTCTCTCTCTCTCTCATATATATATATATATATATATATATATATATATATATACATATATATATGCGTGTGCCTGTGTGTACATATGTATATATATGAGTGTGTATGTGGGCGTTTGTGTGTATGTATGAATTTATACATGTATGTTCAATTCAGTGAGATTTACGAAAGCTGGCTTTGCGTGGTATGTATACGCATATGCATAATATATGTATATGTATATATACGCATATGTGTATCCATATACATATGTGTATATGTGTAAAATTATTATTATTCCTATCATTATTTTCATTACTTTCATTAGCACTATTATCATGATCATTTTCATCATTGCTATTTTCATTACTATTATTATTACCATTACCAGTATCATCATTATCATTATTATTAGGGAAAGGAACATCTTTTCGCGTAGCTGAGAATCTGGTTAGCGTACCTCGAAATGCGGGCGAGCTAACGAGCAGTAAGGTAGTTTCGAAAGGCGAGCGCGATTCCCTTCACCACGGCAATGTAGGGCATGGTAATATTATGAGATAAATAAATACCAAAGAAATGTGAGCAACAATGTTAATGATCATTATAGTGGTGGCAATGATAATGTCATTGATAGTGATGATAATAGTAACGTTACTGGGTGTACTATTCGTATTGGTAATGATGGTAATGAAGATGATATTGGTGGTGATAATGATAATGATATTAGTAATGATAAAGATGATAATAATAACAAGAATAGTATTCATATTGATGATAAAAATGGTAATGATATTCACATTGGGGATAGTAGCAATGGTAATATCCATGGTGAGGACTATAATAACAATAATAAAGAAATGACAAAAATGATAGAAATAATAGTAACAACAATGATAGTGATCATGATAATGGAAAAAATGATTATAGCAATATCATTATCTTCATGATTTAATCATTGGTATGATGATTACCATAATTACCGTCTATCCTGAAAAGAAGAATGATAATGATAACACTACTAGTACTAACAATGAGGATTTTATAATACTGATAATGATAATGGTAAAAATATTGGTAGCAATAATAATGATAATAATGGCAATAACGATAACAACTGTAATGATGAAAATTATAGTAATAATTAATAACAATAACAATATGTTAGTACCATTAATGATGATGATGGTAATGATAATGATTATGTTAGCATTAATTTCAATGATATTGATGATCATGAAAATCATGATAATGATAACAATAATAATGAGGAAGGTAATACTAATAACAACAACAATGATGAATATCGTTCTGATAATGGCAATAATAACATTGATAATGATAATGATAGTAGTAATATTCATAATAATAATAGTCATAATTATAATAACAATAATAACATTAATAATTGTGAAAATGTATATTATTAGAATCATTGGTATCAGTATCAGTAGTAGTATCATAATAATTATCATTATTATCATAATAACCACTATCTTTTTCATCATTCCTGTTGTTATGGCTGTTATAATTGTATGTATAGATAAACAGTCAAATCTAGATAAAGATACATACATACGTAAACATAAGTACCCACTCGCAGACACACACACATATACATATATATGTGTGTGTGTGTGTGTGTGTGTGTATGATATGGTATAAAATGGTAGCCAATCATTTGATCGTGATCGACTACTGTACCTGTTAATAATTCGTCCTTCAAAAGTTTTCATGCAAATAGCTGCAATAGCATATCCGAGTACTCCTGAAACTTTGATTATTATATTTCTCTTTTTTCTAGGAATAAGTTTTACTTATATTTATAATGATGGATATGTCTGAACAACATAAAATTATTTTTAAAGACAGACTACTTCTGTGTTATCATGCAGCCTTTAAGTCTAGGGGATTGGCGGAAACTGACCAGTGGACAGGAACCGTAGGCGTTCGTACAGGAAGGTGATAGCTGGTTGCTGTTCAACCTGATTTGTAAATTGTCATTACTTGTAGGGCCAGTGTGTGCTTTTTTACATTGTAAACTAACAAAGGCACACACAGGCTCTCTCTCTCTCTCTCTCTCTCTCTCTCTCTCTCTCTCTCTCTCTCTCTCTCTCTCTCTCTCTCTCTCTCTCTCTCTCTCTCTCTCTCTCTCTCTCTCATACCTCGAGTGGAGTAAGATGTTACACAGTTACAGTTACATTTATGGAATATGTATGAATCTTAGGCTGGTATATTGCATCAGGGTGACTGTAGAAAAAGTAGATCATATCTCAGAAAAGGTTGGCCACCCCTGATATACATATAATATATATTATATATATATATATATATATATATATATATATTATATAATATATATGTATGTATGTTGTGTATATATATATATATGTTTAAATATATGGGTGTGTGCATATATATACATATATACATACACATACACACACACACACACACACACACACATATATATATATATATATATATATATATATATATATATATATATGTACACACGCCCATATATGGAAATTAAATATATACATATGTATATAATATATATTTATCTATTTACATATATGTGTATGTGCATATATATGTGTGTGTGTCTGTATGTATGTGTGCGTGTGTTGTGTGTAGTTGTGTGGTATGCACACACATAGATGTAAATAGACCTGTGTATATATAAACGTATATAAATGTAAATGTAAATGTCTATAAACATATGTATGTATATATATACATATATATATATATATATATATATATATATATTATATTTACGTATATGTGTGAGTACATACATATATTTATATACATATATGTGTGTGCATATACATAAATGTGTATATATAGGTGTATGTGTGTATAAATGTGTATATAAATCAACGTTTATGTGTATAATTGTGTATATAAATAAACGTTTATGTATATAAATATATATACATATAAATGTATATATACCTGTGTGTGTACTTACATATCTATGTATACATATACATCAATGTATTCATGAATACACAGATATATATATGTGTGTGTGTGTGTGTGTGTGTGTGTGTATAAAAAATGCACACGTCCAATACCAGTCAAACTCACATACACGATTAGGACTAACCTGCATTTTAGGATGAGTCCCTAGCCGAATGGAAGCAAGTCCTTGACCTGCTCCGAGTCCTTCCGCGTTGTATATATACCGCGGTCTCCCTGGGACCGTCGCCACATTCTCATTCACCTTCCGCAGAACCACACGCAGGTATGGGCCTGAAGAGCCTTTCTTCGTCTGTGTAAGAAATAGTGTATATTGTAGGACGGGAACGTTTGTATATTAGTATTAGGTCTCACTCCCTTGCTGACATTCCGCTTTACAGCTTCCACCATCATGAATTCTCGCGTGTTCTTGGGTCTCCTCCTGTGCGGCCTCTGGGCCTCTTCCGAGTCTCTCGTCCTCTTGGGAACCACCGCCGCAGTCGGAACTGCCGCCGCCGCCACCGCAGTTACCGCTTCTGCAGCGGCAGCTTTGGGCGTGGGCGCGCTGGCGGTGCTCAAGGGAGTTCTTATCGGAAGCATCTGAAGCGCCGCCGTTACGGAAGGGACGTCGATGCCGTGCAAGACGTTGCTGAGGACGATGCAGAAGACGTTGCAGTTAAAGTGAGTTTCAGTTATCATGAAGTTTATATACTTTCATATATATGTACGTGTTTGTTTTTTGTTTTTGTTTCTTTCTTTCATTTTGTTTATATACCGACGTGCACTGCTGAAAAAGGGCGTCCTCAAATCTGGGCATATAAAAGCGTGCATGTGCGTTTCCTCTTTGGGAAAATGTTCAGCATATACAAACTATTAGGGAAACAATCAAAACATTTCTCTGTTCCAACAGGTTGCCGTGGCCCAGCAGATGGATTCAGCTGGCTGCGTGGCCAAGCTCTTGTGCGAAATCGAGGCCATGTCCGCTGACCAGCTGACTCCTGCCATGGCCTCCTTCAAGACTGCTTTCGAGGACAACGAGAACCTCAGGAGCGCCCGAGGCGTGTACGATCTGGCCATCAGCTTCGGCTCCAAGTTCGCCAAGAAGGACTCGAAGGCCTGCAGCACCCTCTTCGAGAAGTGCGTCCTGTCCAGGGAGGACCTCTCCTTCATGCTGGACTCCACCTTCTCTTGCCAGTCTTAAAGGCCTTTTCACATACACTCTGGCGAGTTTCTTCCATCCGCCGAAGTGGCACGGTCTTGAAATGACTTGGTAGCTGTCAGACAAGTGACTGACTGGACCTCATTGTTCAAGCTTTCCTTGAAATCCCCTAAATTATATTTATTTATTTTTTAGTCTTTCACGAAATAAAATAAACAATCTTGATTTCAATATCATTTCTTCCTTGGCATGAGTAAAAC